TCCTACCTACTGGACGCGGTGCCACTGCGATGCAAATTTCAAATCTCCGCGCGTGTTGCGGCGCATGACTGGGCTCTCGCGGCGACTGAGACGGCGGCCGCGGCGCAGCATCACCACGTCTGCCTGTCACACACGCAAATACATGTCGGCCGTTGGTCTAGGGGTATGATTCTCGCTTTGGGTGCGAGAGGTCCCGGGTTCAAATCCCGGACGGGCCCGCGAACATGGAGCGCGAACAGCCGCCTAGTCTGTGTCGCGCTTCTGTTTCTTAAATTTTTTTTATTTCTTCCTCGTAGAGGCGGTGAGACGCGGACACGGAAACGGAGGAGAGGAAGAGACGCTGCCACCGGCTGTTGCATTTCACTTTTATTATTGGCCCGGCTCCGGAGAGAGCTGGGCGCGTCAAAAAAAGAGTCGAGACTCCTCGAGTGCACCACCTCCACGGAACTCTTTAGTAAAAGGCGAAAGAGTTTTTCGTTCTGAAGGTGGAGCGGAGTCCCGGGCCCCCCTGCGGTCATTCGACCTTGTGCTGGCGCAACGTGTGGTGATCCGCGGGAGACGACGCCCGGCCGCGCCGCCGCCGCTGGAGCCTCCCTGACGGCCGTGGAGGGCGCCGGCCATCGCCGGCCGCCTGGTGTAACGGTCAGCGCGCCGGACTCTGGAGTCGGGGCTCCGCGTTCGACCCTGGGCCGCTCTCGTGATTACTTTTTGGTTTTCTTTTTTTTTTTAGGGGGTACCGCTCAGGCAGCCCATTTCCCCACCCCGTCGCCGCGAGGGCGAAGGGAACGATCATCGATGCTGCGCGCGCGCGGTCCCAGGTCATACGACTCGGAACACGCGGCGGGGGCCCAGCGGCCTCACGCTCAGGGAAGAGGACATATACCTCATCATCGCGGTTTGTTTCTATTCTACTGTTGAGTAGAGAGAAAGGAAGACATACTACAGAAATGATCCTGTGAAGTATAAGTTTTAAAAAAGCGTTTGGCGCGCCGTCTACTTGGGCGGCGATGTACTGCTGACTATGAGGGCGAGCTTGACGGGCGGCAGGAGGGCACGCACGCCATCTGTCTCCGAGTGGGATGACGCGCGAACCATGAGAAATGGAGCGCACCTCGCGGGGGCGGGGTGCGTCGAAATGGAATGCTATGATGCGGTCCATGGGGGTGTACGTCGTAAGCCCCCGTGGCCTAATGGATAAGGCACCGGCCTCCTAAGCCGGGGATTGAGGGTTCGAGTCCCTCCAGGGGTATAAAGTGTGAAAACTATGCGACTATTTTGCGTCATCTCGCGTTTTTGTCTTTCGCCATCTGTGCAATGGAAAAATAAAAAAGAGGGGGAGAGGTCAAGGGGTCAGGGTCAAAAGATTGATGTCAGAAGTGGGATTCGAACCCACGCCTTCATTCGAAGACCAGAACACTCTGTCACACACCCGGTTACTGAAGCCGGGCAAGGGTCGTTTGTTCCCCTTGAGTCTGGCGCCTTAGACCGCTCGGCCATCCTGACAAGCATGCTGCTGGCACGCCGCAACGGCCACCTCACTTTCCACTCAGGTGTCGGGTCAGGTCATGTCTGTCCGTCATCCATCGTGCAGACACGCCAAAATTATAGCAGAGCAAGGTTTCGATCCTCGGACCTCTGGGTTATGGGCCCAGCACGCTTCCACTGCGCCACTCTGCTCCTTGCACCGACGCGTCACACTGACTGCTCCTACCCTTTTCTGCTTCTTAGTAGCAGCATCTTGTGCCCTCATCACGCCATCAGCAGGAGGTTCCGTGGTGTAGTGGTCATCACGTCTGCTTTACACGCAGAAGGTCCCCAGTTCGACCCTGGGCGGAATCAATCCACTCCTTTTTTTTTCACACACATTTCATTTCATTTCATTTCATTTTTTTACTTCTTTTTTCTCTCAAATCACCCAACACACCCACACCACTGCCACACTGCCAAAGTGCCAAAGTGCATAAGTGCACTTGACGCACTTCACGCCGCTGAACGCCCTTTACGCCCTATCCCCCTTTGGGGGCCCTACCCCCACTCGGACCGCAACCTCCTTGCTCGGGACGCGGGACGCGGGCTGGCTATGCGCTACGCCGCGCATGCACGCGCAGTGCTATGGACCGCTCCTATCGCCCCACTCGGTCAGCAGTCGTGGCCGAGTGGTTAAGGCGACTGACTAGAAATCAGTTTCCCTCTGGGGGCGTAGGTTCGAGTCCTACCGACTGCGTCATCTTTTGATTAATTTTAGGCCCGCGCTACCGCGCAGGCCCCATTCCCCATTCAACGGTCGGCAAACTCTTCGTGGCGGGGGTGTAGCTCAAATGGTAGAGCGCTCGCTTTGCATGTGAGAGGCACGGGGTTCGATCCCCCGCACCTCCACGTCACCTTTTGGCCTACCTTCAAACGCGGACAGATGGATAGTATTGTTCGGCTTTCAGCAAGTGATTTTTTTTTCAATTTGACGCGCCGTACGCAAAGGGACGACGCGACCGGTTATGCACCCACACTCGGCCTCACTTCACCTGTTCGCCACGGCCGGAGGGCATGCCGCACGGGAGCTATACGCTTCCCAGCGGCCGCCGGCCAGGTCGCCTGTCAACGTAGGCCACATCTCCGCGCTCCACACACGGCGTCATCTCGTTGCCTACCTACAAGGGGCTCCGCCGACGCGCCCCCAGGCCGTCAGACTCGCGGCGTGCCGCTGCTCTTTTTGTAGCCTCGCGAATCAGCTGCAGACACAAGCCCCGGGTAGCTCAGTCGGTAGAGCGGGGCTCTTAATCCCAGGGTCGTGGGTTCGAGCCCCACGTTGGGCGTTTCTTTTCTGCGAAATCTATCCGTCGCCCTCCTCCTTTGTACAGTGTATCGGGTCTGCCGCTCGTCTCCGCAGCACAGTCCGGTATGGTCTAGTGGCTAGGATACCTGGCTCTCACCCAGGAGGCTCGGGTTCGATTCCCGGGACCGGAACTCTTTTGCCCGAGCTCAGTCATGCAGCGGGTTCCCCCCTTTTAGTAGGATTGAGCGAGGCCTCACGCAGCACCATGTGACGAGGTGGCCGAGTGGTTAAAGGGGTTGGACTGCTAATCCAATGGGCTCTGCCCGCGTGAGTTCGAATCTCATCCTCGTCGTCCCGCTCTCTTTTTTATTCGTTTATTCTTTTGTTTTGCCTCGCCTCGTCGGTGCAGCAGCATGTCAAGCGGCGAGCGAGGCCCGCAAGGTCACGCGGTCCCATGGTGTAATGGTTAGCACTCAGGACTCTGAATCCTGCGATCCGAGTTCAAATCTCGGTGGGACCTGTACTTTTAGCGTCACGCGCGATCGCACCCCATCTGGCGAGGCACGCCATCATTAAGGGCAGCCTGAGTACCCGTCGCCAAGCCGCCTCCATAGCTCAGTGGTTAGAGCACCAGTCTAGTAAACTGGGGGGCGAGAGTTCGATTCTCTCTGGAGGCAGGACTTGTTTTTTTTGGCCACGCCCCGAGAAAGCGACACCGCATTGCTCCTTGTCGCGTGTCATCAAAGAGCGACGCACAGCGAGGTCCGTTGGTCTAGGGGTATGATTCTCGCTTAGGGTGCGAGAGGTCCCGGGTTCAAATCCCGGACGGACCCAATTTTTTGTAACTTATGATTATTTGAGAGCATCACCATTCTGACTAAACAAGAAAAAAAAAAAAAAAAGGAACCTCTCCGGCGGGGGAAACGAACCCCCGGGCTCCCGCGTGACAGGCGGGGATACTGACCACTATTACCGAAGATGCGGCCTGGCGGGACCCGTCTCGCCACGCATGACCATCTACTCGGCAGGTTGGCGGCAAAGGGACGCGAAAAGTGGAGGTGCGGGGGATCGATCCCCGTACTTCTCGCATGCTAAGCGAGCGCTCTACCATCTGAGCTACACCCCCCCACATGTGCGGGACGGCCGCCGCTGCTCTTGTCTTCTGACAACACTGCGCAGCCATGACTTGACGCGCTGGGCGCCGGTCCCCGATCCCCCCGTGATGATGATGAAACGCGCGCCGAGAGTGGGGCCCCTACGGCCTCATGAAGAAAGCAGACCACTGTGCTTTTTTGGCCTCACGATGGTGGAGCGCGCGCCGAGAGTGAGCCCATACGGCCTCATGAAGAAAGCAGACCACTGTGCTTTTCTGGCCTCACGATGGTGGAGCGCGCGCCCGGGGTGGGCCCATACGGCCTCATGAAGAAAGCAGACCCCTGTGCTTTTCTGGCCTCACGATGGTGGAGCGCGCGCCGAGAGTGGGCCCATACGGCCCCATGAAGAAAGCAGACCACTGTGCTTTTTTGGCCTCACGATGGTGGAGCGCGCGCCCAGAGTGAGCCCATACGGCCTCATGAAGAAAGCAGACCACTGTGCTTTTCTGGCCTCACGATGGTGGAGCGCGCGCCGAGAGTGGGCCCATACGGCCTCATGAAGAAAGCAGACCACTGTGCTTTTCTGGCCTCACGATGGTGGAGCGCGCGCCGAGAGTGGGCCCATACGGCCTCATGAAGAAAGCAAACCACTGTGCTTTTCTGGCCTCATGATGATGGAGCGCTCTACCATCTACGAACAACAGATGCTTCCCCCTCTCTCGTGCGTGACGAGGACGCCGTAGCCGTTCCCCACTGGCCGTCACTTTTATCAGCACACATGCTAGATGCACTCGTCGTCGGTCCTGTGGCGCAACGGATAACGCGTCTGACTACGGATCAGAAGATTCCAGGTTCGAATCCTGGCAGGATCGGGATGGCTCTCCTTTTGATTCATCTCCACACGCCTTCTTTTGACCGCGCCAGTGCGTGTGCGCGCACTCGGGAGGAGCTCGGGGCTCACCTTTTCGGGCCTGCCGCTAGGTGGCTCCACCGTCCAAAGACGGGGGCGAGACGCGTCCTTTCCAGGCCCGCTCCGAGGCAGCACAGCATCAGCCCAGCACCGGCCTTGGTACCACGTCATCGTGAACCACTATTGCCATCGGCCTGTGTCACAGCCGGGTCAGCGGGGTGGAAAGGCAGCCACTGGCAGACCACTCGGAGGGTGCGCGAGGCGCGAACGATGTGACCGCGCCGCACAGCGGTATATATGCAGTGCGCCGCGCGCCCTGTCCTTGTACTCGCTTCGGCGGTACATATACTAAAATTGGAACGATACAGAGAAGATTAGCATGGCCCCTGCGCAAGGATGACACGCAAAATCGTGAAGCGTTCCACATTTTTTGACCGCTTGCGTGAGAGGCCGCCTTCTCACTCGGCCCAGTCGTCTTCGCCTTTGCGGCGACATCACAGTGCGACGAGAAGCAGACCACCTCCCGAACCGCCGAGCCTCATCAGCATCGGTGGTTCAGTGGTAGAATGCTCGCCTGCCACGCGGGCGGCCCGGGTTCGATTCCCGGCCGATGCAATTTTGTCGCCAGCCGACTCAAATGGATCAAGACACGGCGTCGGCGCAGGCGACGAGACACTTGGAGCTGTGAAGTGGAGGCGCATTATCACCGGCCTCCGTGGCGCAATGGTTAGCGCGTTCGGCTGTTAACCGAAAGGTTGGTGGTTCGACCCCACCCGGGGGCGCGTCTCTCTTTTGGAGGAAGTTTCGTCAGTTGCTTGCCCGCGCAGCACCGGTAGCATGGTCCAGCAGCGTGCCTCCGGGATCGAGGACCGTGTGGCCTAATGGATAAGGCGTCGGACTTCGGATCCGAAGATTGCAGGTTCGAGTCCTGTCACGGTCGTCCAAATTCTTTTGGCCAGGAGGGGAAGGGGAAGAAAATGTATTCTCCCCCGCACCCCCTTCTTCCTTCCTTTCTTCTCGCTTCTTCAAAAGAAGTGGCAGCGGTGGGATTCGAACCCACGCCTCCGAGGAGACTGGTGCCTTAAACCAGCGCCTTAGACCGCTCGGCCACGCTACCCCGATGAACGGCACGGTTTACGGCGGCATTACCCATCATTGGGGCCATGGTGGAATACTAGAGAGCTGACGAAAAGCAAAACTTGATTCCGCCCGGATCGAACTGGGGACCTTCTGCGTGTTAGGCAGATGTGATAACCGCTACACCACGGAATCTGATGCTCCGCCAACGCAGCGGCGCGAATCCCTTTGCTGTATGGTTTTGTGGTCCGCTGATGCCGTCCGTGCTCTCGAAACGCAAAAGGAGTGCGACAGCCGGAATCGAACCCGGATCAACTGCTTGGAAGGCAACTATGCTAACCACTACACCACTGTCGCCTGATGGGGTCGGACGGCACGGCCACTGCACGCACTTGGGCTGACTGCCCTTTCCCACTTCCGCGAGGGAAAACGGAAATCATCGGTGGAAGGGGGATCCGAAGACCGACTGCAGAGACCCGCTGAAGGGGGAAGTGAGGAACACGCCATTTTGGACGTGGCGTTCACTCCTGCAAGAGCCCCCATGGCTCAGTGGTTAGAGCACCGGTCTCGAAAACCCGGGGGGTCGAGAGTTCGAATCTCTCGGGGGGCACGCCGCCCTGTTTTCGCACTGGTTTTGCAGCACGGAACAGCCGGAGCAGTGGGGTGTGTGGTGGGGGTTCGCTGCCTGTGCCGTTGACACGTATAAGCAATGCGACAGCCGCGAATATCGGAGCCAGACGTCAAGCAGCCCCCATGGCTCAGTGGTTAGAGCCCCGGTCTTGTAAACCGGGGGTCGAGAGTTCGAATCTCTCGGGGGGCACGCTGCCCTGTTTTCGCACCGGTTTTGCAGCAGGAGAACCAGCCCCGAGCCCGCCGGCGCCGTTGTTTTACTCTTTCACGGACGACGCTGCTCGCGGACAGGCAGCCTCAGTTCGACGGGCCTCCGCACTCATCATCCGGTATGGTCTAGTGGTTAGGATTTCTGGCTTTCACCCAGGAGGCTCGGGGTTCGTTTCCCCGGGTACCGGAATTTTTTTGCTGACAAAAAACAGGTGCTGATCTCGTCAGGTAAGCAGTGCGGGTGCTCGGGGCGGCGGCACGTGCAGCGATTCGCGACGAGTGGCGGCAAAAGAGATGCCTCCTTCGAGCCGGATTTGAACCAGCGACCTATGGATACCCGCGCCAGCCCTCTCGCCCACAGTCCACCGCTCTACCAACTGAGCTATCGAAGGTGCCTTGGTGCGGGCCCGCGCGGCCGCGATGCGCCTCCCCGACGTCGATTGCAATCGGCGCAAGTCAGTTCGGGACACGCTGCCTGTTCGGGGTACCTCACTCGGATTCCGTGGTGTAGCGGTTATCACGTCTGCTTCACACGCAGAAGGTCCCCGGTTCGATCCCGGGGGGGATCACGACCCTCCTTTTTGGGCTATCGGGGCGCCGTCGGCGTGAGGACAGTTTTAAAGTGGCTGAAACTGCAGCGAGCGACGGCACATCGACTCCGTGGCGCAACGGTAGCGCGTCTGACTCCAGATCAGAAAAGGGTTTCGTGTTCAAATCACGTCGGGGTCAGGGACACGTGCCCTGTCCTTTTTCGTTTTCTTTTCGAAGAACAATTTGATTTATCTTTCCTCTCTCAGCATGATGGCCAGTCTATGCCTCCCAAACGTCGAATGTAGCCTCGGTAGCGCAGTAGGGAGCGCGTCAGTCCCCATAATCTGAAGGCCGTGATTCGATCCTCACCCGGGGCACATCTTTTGGTCCATTCGCCCAAAAGTGCACCTTTGCACGTTGGGATCTTCGGGGGGTGGCCAGACACACATGTCCTCGGTAGTATAGTGGTCAGTATCCCCGCCTGTCACGCGGGAGACCGGGGTTCGATTCCCCCCCGGGGAGGCAGTCTCTTTTTTTGGTGCCTTCGAACGAGTCTCATTTTACAACGACGAGCAAAAGAGATGGGCCCCATGGGGGGATCGAACCCACGACCTTCGCTTTATTAGCACGACGCTCTAACCAACTGAGCTAATGGGCCAGAGGGAGAGGTGCGGCCACGGCGGAGATGATGTGATCATGTGAGAAGGGACGGGCCGAGCGCACGGAACGCCACGTTATCGGCAAGCCGTGTCACCAGCCTGCACATGAGCCAAAATAGCTCAGTTGGGAGAGCGTTAGACTGAAGATCAAAATGTCCCCGGTTCAACCCCGGGGTTTTCGGCAGCCTTCTTTTCCTTTTCGATTTCCTTTCCCCCGGCCTATCGTTAAAACCCACCTATTTTGTTTTAAATGAAAGAAAAATACTTGGCCGGTAGAGAAGAAAAGAAAGGTGTGGACTGCCGTGACCAGGATTCGAACCTGGGTTATCGCGGCCACAACGCGAGGTACTAACCACTATACGATCACGGCTGTCCCGTCCACATGCTGAGCCCCGGCCACGGAGAGCTTCTGTATTATCAACGGGGCATCCTGAAGACGACGCCGCCGCCATACCAACAAAAGAACGAACGAACGAACGAACGAACGAACGAACGAACGAACGAACGAACGAACGAACGAACGAACGAACGAACGAACGAACGAACGAAAGAGAACCTAACCTAACCTAACCTAACCTAACCCCACCCAACCCAACCTGACCCAACCTAACCCACTCCAACCCAAAGCAAAAAGAAAAAGAAGGTGGTGTGGCTGTGAGACGAGCCGGGCCGCGGAGAGGGCGCCACTCTCGGACGCGATCCCACCTGCCGCTCGCCACGGGGACTTTTGGCTGCTGAGCGGATGCCCCCTGACCCGGTTCGCCCCTCCTTAGCGAAACCTGGCCTCCAGACCGGACTCCTCCGGGGAGGCCATGTTGATGGCGAGCCCAGTGCGGACGTCCAGGTCACCATGGAGCCCAAGCCGCGGTTGCACCCGGCCCGCCGCCATCCTCACCTTCCAGCCTCCGGGTCGCCGGATTACAGGGGTGCGCCACCAGCCCCCAGCTGAGCGACGTCGCGTCCCGGATCGCCTCCGTTCCGCCGCCACACCGGCCGCTTTTCATTCCGTTGCGTCTCTCTCCTTCTCTTTCCATTCACCAATTTTGTGTCTGTCTTCCTCGTGCGGCGCCATGGAGGCAGCGTGGCCGAGTGGTCTAAGGCGCCGGTTTTAGGCACCGGTCTCATCGAGGCGTGGGTTCGAATCCCACCGCTGTCATTATGGTATTCTTTTTATTCCTCCCAAACGAATGGATCGACACGGTGGAAAAGTTTTCTGGTTTTTCCCAGGAAGCCTGTGTGGTGGTAAAGACAATAGCAAAGTTTCTGGGAAGACCAGGAACCTGTTTACCTTATTACCGCAAACCCTTCCCACTGGAACCATGCCACCACATCCTGCAGTGCCTGCTTGGGTGCCCAAGTGCATTGGTGCTCTTCCTCGCTACTTGTAGTGGCACTACGGCTCCGTCCTCGCACCATTCCCAGAGCCCGGCTAGCTCAGTCGGTAGAGCATTGGACTTTTAATCCAAGGGTCGTGGGTTCAAGTCCCCCGTCGGGCGTCTGCCTTTTGCGTGTTTTTGTCCGTATTCGCGTCACTAGGCGACAAAGTTGGACCATTTCGATTCGAGATGGGCTGAGCGGGCACCAGGGCGGTGCGGGGCCGGCAACCCGCCGCTTGCAGGCAGGCGCAGGTCAGGAAAGAGAGAGCCACTAGTGCGTGGCGCGAAGCTCCGGCTTTCGCCAACGACCATACCACGCTGGGTCCACCGGTTCCCTTCCGCACACCGAAGTTAAGCAGCGTTGGGTGCGGTTAGTACCTGGATGGGTGACCGCCTGGGAACACCGCATGCCGTTGGCATCTTTTTGGGCCACTTTTAGGCGCAGGTCAGGAAAGAGAGAGCCACTAGTGCGTGGCGCCGAAGCTGCGGCTTTCGCCAACGACCATACCACGCTGGGTCCACCGGTTCCCTTCCGCACCACGAAGTTAAGCAGCGTCGGGGGAGTACCGGATGGGGACCGCCTGGAACACCGCATGCCGTTGGCATCTTTTGGCCATTTTGGCCTCGAGGGTGTCTGGCGCGAGGCGGGCGCCCGAAACCGGGTGGCCCCCGGTCCTTCCACCCCCAGTTACAGGGGTCGGCGGAGGCCCGAGGGGGCGCGGGGAGGGAAGCGGGAAAAGGGG